GCTGTGAGGAGAAGTTACTGCACTTCCAGAGGAATACTTGTCAAGAAACATGTATTTACCACCCTTGTTTTGAAAGGACATAAGAAGTTCTCCCACGCCCAGTTTGAAGCTACATCAGCCACGTTCCGTTCTGTCACAACCCATACAAGCTTGAGTGGTTCTGCTGAATTTCTCCTGCCACAGGAGAATTTTCCCTGCATTAGGTAGCAGGACAGTTGTTGTTGTTGGCTACACTTAGCTCCTCCTGAAGAGAAAGAGCTTCTCTAACTCTCTTTTATTTTCCCCGCTGCCGTAGCGCGTTCCCCGGTTTTCAGCGCCATGTTTGAGCATGAGATGGAAGAGAGTAAAAAGGTAAGTTCCTGAAGGAGAGAGAACTTCTCTGGATGGGTCAATAGCTCTCTAGTCCGCTGGTCAGATAACTTTCTTAGGTAGTGACTATTGTCACCTTTTAACTGCTTTTCTCACAGGTCTCTGCTTCAGCTGTCCTGAAGGGAGGAAGAAAGGGATCAAGGAGGCAATTGTTTCCTTTGTTCCATTGCTGCTGCTGAGCTCAAAAGGGCCAGACCCAGGCAAATAACTGTGACGCTGAGTGGAACTGGAAATGTGTATGTAAACGTTATCTTTGGCTAGCATTTCTTTTTTTTTTTTTTTTCCTCTCTTTGCAATTACTAGACATTCTAAATAGTTTGTAGCAAATTTCTGCCCACTGAAAGAGCTTGGGTAGAAGGAGGCCTTTAGCATCTTGTCAGGATCTTAATAAGCTTCATTTTTCTGATGCAGAATCGGGTCGAAATCAATGATGTGGAGCCTGAAGTCTTTAAGGAAATGATGTGCTTTATTTACACGGGGAAGGCACCAAATCTTGACAAAATGGCTGATGACTTGCTGGCAGCTGCTGACAAGGTACAGTTGGGATTTCTGGGAGTTCAGAGAACCAGGGGTGACCTGCATTGTTGTTTTACACAGAGCTTGCTGCAGAAAGCTTTTCATTTGATGGTTGTGGTTGGGCAGTTTCTTTTATTTGGTTGTGGCTTATAAGTAAACCTGGATGGAGTTTAGATACAAACAAGATATCTACAGCTCTGTAGATACAGATCTTAATATATAACAGTCAGGAAGTTTGGACTCTACTGCTCATTTTCAAGGCTTTTCTTAAAATTTCAGAGGACTTCTCTATTCAGCAGAATCTAGCATAAGAGCTGGGGGTGAGAAGAACATTTCAAGGTGGACCTGGCAATATATATATATTATTTATTTTTTTTTAGTGTGATGATTGCCACATCTCACAAGTAGTGTTCTGTCTTGGCAAACAGGGCCTGCTTCTCCTTCTGGTCTGGCTGGTGTCAGCAGCTACAGGAAATGCTCTTAACGTGGTGGATAGCCAAGAATGGGGAAGGTCCTGTTGTTTATTTTCTTCTTGCAGCGGCAGTCCTTGCTGTTTGTGGAGAGAAGGGGTGCACTGGAGGATGCCTCACCTGTGATTTTGCAGGCTCCTTGCCAGGGAGGTGTTGGGGATGGTCTGACTGGGAGGCTGCTGGTTGTCCCCGTGTAGCAGGCGCAGCGTCGTGGCCTCGCCAGCCAGGCAGCCACTGCCTCCTTCCCTTTGCAGCCCCAAGGACAGAAGAGAGTGCTCTGCTGGCCAGTGAGCAACCTTAACCAGTGAAAATTCATCATATATAACCAAAATTTTATTTCCTTTTTTTTTTTTTTCTCTTAAGAGTGAACTTAGTGCTGGTGAAAGATGCCAGTTTGACAGCACTGGAGACTAAAGTTCTGAATTTATCCATGGAACAGGTTCAGCACGGGTAGAAGCAGTGCAAGATTCTCCACACTGCCCTGCCAATGTGCCTCAACTCTGACCTGGAGGGACCACCTCTAGGGGTGAGAGCGTAGTTCAGTCTCCATGCTTCTTCAGTCCTTGGATTCTCTTGGGGGTGCCAGTTAGGGTGGTGGATTTTAAGATGTGGATGCATGTAACCTTGTTCCACGCAACCACCACAGGGCCATCAAATCCCCTGTCACTGCCAACCTGGGCTTCATCAAAACTGCTGATTTCAGAGGTGAAATGCTCCATATGCCATCGTTGGGCCACTGCAACTGGAATTAAAATGGGAAATAATGCAAAGAGAATCTTGGCCTGATTATAATCATTGCCACATTTTATTCAATATTTAAAGAGTATTGATTGAGAGCTCACATACCATCTTTAACTGAGACAAGTGGAAGTAAGAAGCAGTACATTAAGGACAGAACAGGCTTTAACTTTTAGTTTCCTGGCTTTTAATGTAGCTTTTTCCTTTCAAACTCATTGTGTGACTTTTAAAAACCGAAATAAAAAATCTTTCATGAAAGCACATAAAACATCTAATATTTACTCCAGAGACTGAAACAGCTTCTTCTGAGTTCCTCCTGTCTCTTGGGGAAAATATGTAATTAGACCAAAACCAAAACAAAGCACGTCTTCTCAACCCAAGAGATACTATTTCAGCCTCTTGGGTAAGTATGCTATTAGGTAGGGTGGTTTTTTTAAGTGTAATTAAGAAAGGGGGGAAAGGGAAATCTTGGTACCTGAGAGACCAGAATGGCTACTTTTTTGCCCATCTGTCTAATTACAAGCTGAGCTATTTGTTTGTAACAAATATCCAAATAAAAATTGTACGTGCATGGAGGAGAAGATTCAATTTACAAAAAGAAGAATTTTAAGCTTCATTTGCTGCATTTTAAGCTACTGACAGACAATAATAGTAACTAATGGATTGCCCCTTGTTTGAAACTCGTTTAGTTATTGATACAGCTTAAGGAAGTAAATTTGATTTGCCTTCTCAGATACTCTGGTGGGAGAAAACTGCGCTGGTTATGAGTGCCATGCCTCAATTGGAGTAATTATTATTGCCAAGTCTTAAGTGAAACAATGTTTTTATGATCTACAATTATTCACTGAAATTTAATAATAATGGGGTGAAAATCTCAATATCAAATCAATTTATAGTAATAGTGCTTATCACATGGCAAGTGCTCCTGTCGTTATGCAGATGAGCTTGTTACCAGCTCTCAGTTCAGGTTGACAGAGCGGCCCTTACAATCTGGTGTCTTTCCCAAGTGTGGCCTCACATGCTTGAAGAACTTGCATATCATGTCATCTCTGAGCTGTCCAAAAAAGCCTTATAAACAAGATGAAGGATACTCTCAAATGCAGTTATCAGATTAAAAAAAAATTTACCAACCTTAAAGGATTTTTTGTTATTGTTAGAAATGTCACTCAGGTTGAAGTCATGACATGAGACTTAACTGTGTTTAATCTTGGGGACAATTTATCTAGTACCAATGTTATTACTCATATAAGAATTGCATTAGAATTGACCACTCTCCTAGTTCTGAAATGGACTCATGATATCTGAAATATTCAAAAATACTGTTTGTTTCATCCAAAGAGCCACAAACTCCATAATTAGAATGTGCATACCAAGGTTTTCAGAAGTATCTCTGTTCCCAGCTGTGGTACTCCAGAAGACTTGAGGTTTGGGTTTCATTTCTTGATAACAAGTGGCTTAAAAGTTTGCAGAGAACTGACCTTTTTGAAGTCTGCCTGAGAGCACTGAGTTGCTTTTGAAAATCTTGGCTGTGTCTGCATTCTTCAGTGCTGACTGAAGTGCTGCAGAAAGGAGAGTGTGAAATTTATTAGCCAGCACTCTTCTTCTCAGCTTATCCTTTGAATGTCTCAAACGATTGACATGGCCTAACCCTGTGGAGCTAAAAAATGTGGAGGCAAATTCACAATGGAATGGTAGAAACTCTGAGGCTGAGGACATGAAATTAGAATAGAGCCTTTGCCAGGGCGTTACAGACACGCTGTGATGTTTGGTTTCCAGCTGGACAGCCATAAGAAATCAGGGTCATTTGTTTCACATTTTACTATTAAACTAGTAGCACATACTTGAGCAAGGCTGATCTTAGTGTGCAGGTCATTAGTGGCAAAAGAAATGGAGTGCAAGCTGCCTAAACATAACTGGAACACCTGTGGAACATTCCCTGGCAGACAGATCTTCCCACTGAACCCAGGAACACTTGTCATGCAGTAATAGAGTGAGAATAAAGATCTGCCTTTAGCATTCTGTGCCTTGAAGTAACTGAGCTAGGAAGTATTCCAGGTGACCTGAAATTCTCATTTCAAAGCATGACCACAGCACCACTAAGCCTGTCACACAGGAAGGCCAGGATGAGTGCTCTGGTGGGTATGTTTCCTCTCCATTGCTTTTTCTCAGGGTGGGTGCATCATGATTCTCCTCGGTTTGTTGCTTTTTTTTACGTTTGTTTGTTTGTTTTGCTGGTCACTCCTTCTCTGAGTAGAGTTCAGATGCATATAGCAAAGCAGAGCCATCTGTTCTGCATCCTAGAGTAGTTTGGAGAGTGAAGAAGCACAAGTGAGGCTTCATGTCAGGCCTGGTTGGGTGTTCTCTGGGTGACCAAACCTTGGGTTGTCTCTTGCAGTACGCCCTGGAGCGGCTGAAGGTGATGTGTGAGGATGCACTGTGCAGTAACCTGTCTGTGGAAAATGCAGCTGAAATCCTCATTCTGGCTGACCTACATAGTGCTGATCAACTGAAAACTCAAGCAGTGGACTTCATTAACTAGTAAGTTTGCTTTTGGTTGTTGTGTTTTTTTTTCCTTCCAGGGTGCAACAAATCCTGAGGAAAGTTGGTTATTAGCAATAGGATTCACAGCTTGTGAGCTGTCACATACAGGGGAGATTCTTTTAATATAACAGGCTTTTGGTAGATGTAAAATGACTGCCAACTATTTTGATGCCTGGAAACATTTTTAGTCCCATTTGTCAATTAATACAGTGTTTCTCTGCTTCTTGTATTGATTTAAAGTACTTCTGTGCCAAGTAGTTCAGGGTGGATAAGCACTGTGTTCCTGTTGTCCTCCGCTGGGATGATAGAATTAGAAGAGAAGGCTCTGGGGAGACCTTGGAGCACCTTCCAGTGCATGAAGGGGCTCCAGGAAAGCTGGAGAGGGACTTTGGACAAGGGCAGGGAGTGAGAGAACAAGGGGTATGGATTAAAACTGGAAGAGGGGAGATTTGGATGAGACATCAGGAAGAAATTCATCACCATGAGGGTAGTGAGGCACTGAGCAGGTTGCCCAGAGAAGCTGTGGCTGCCCCATCCCTGGCAGTATTGAAGGGCAAGTTGGATGGGGCTTGGAGCAACCTGGGCTGGTGGGAGGTGTCCCTGCTTTTATAGCAGGGAGGTTGGAACCTGATGATCTTTTAAGGTCCCTTCCAACCTTCACCATTCTATGAAAAGACCTGTAAGAACATCCAGTCCAACCTTTAACCTAACTTTACTGACCTACCTCTACCAGCCCACTACTAAACTATGCCTCATGTATAAGCTTTCCATCTTTAAGCTGAAGGACTGTCCAGCACAGAGTTGTGCCAGCAGAGGCAAAGTCCCAGTCTTCACCAAAGATCCCAATCAGACATCCAGAGTTCTCCTAAAACAGTGCGCTATGTTTCTCAGGCATGTGGAAAGCATCTAGTTAGTTAATCCTTTTCATCCCCAGTTGATAAACTTCCCTTTTATTCTCTCTTACTTCTAGTCATGCTTCTGATGTGATGGAGACCTCAGGCTGGAAGTCCATGGTGGTGTCACATCCCCACTTGGTGGCCGAGGCGTATCGCTCTCTGGCCTCTGCACAGTGTCCCTTTCTGGGCCCCCCACGGAAGCGACTGAAGCAATCCTAAAGCCCTGCCTGTCACACCACCCCATGTTTTTCTGGAAGCAGCAACTGTTGCTGCTGTAACCTTGACCACCAGGTAGACAGCGAAATCTGTGGAGCTTTTACTCTGTTGTTGGGGGGAAGAGACTGCTTCATGACACCCAGACTTTTTAAAACAGCACCAAGTAACTTGGGGAGAGGGGGGAGGGTGGGCCTAGGGCTCTGGGGCTGTTCAACCTAATGAATCCCTGTCGCTGCATCGTCTGTGTGTTCCCTTCGACTTGGCTGAGTCAATTAAGTACAGGGTTTGGTTTAGGCACCAACCCAAGTGGGAATATCCCAGCACTGGTACTGGGGGAAACAACGTCTCTGCGTCTGGCAGCACAGAACAAATCGTCAGATGCCTGGAGCAAGAAGACATTTTAGCTTTGGAGAGCATTGAGAGGTTAAAAAGAATTTTCAGTTCAATCCTGAAAAGTACCTGATGGGAGCTCCAGTAGTATTTATATTAAAAAAAAAAAAAGAGAGAGAATTTAAGTCCTTCCAGCTGAGCTAAAAAACTGGACGTTTGTGTAACTCCTTTTTGTCATCCAGCAACAAGAAGATCAGTTTCTCTGTTAGTAGCACTTGTATGTTAATTGCTGAAAAAAAAAAAAAAGGAAAAAAAAAAAAAAAAAGGAAGGAAAATAACAAATCCCACCTTTTATAAAAAAATGACAGGTTGAAGTGAAATGAGACAGTGAAATGCTCAGTGTTCTGGAGGGTGTGAATAGGCTGGAGGCATCGCTTGGCAAGTCTGTGTTGGTTTTGAAAGGGCTAGAAAAGCCTTGATCTGGAGCCTGTGCTGTCTGACAGGAGCAACGGTTACTGTTTTTAGATATTGTGGGAAATGTTTTTGGCATTTTTCCCTGCTTTATTTCCCTCCTCCCTCTTTTCTAAGAAAAAAACAAAAAACAAAAAACAAAACAAACAAAAAAAACACCCGAAAAAAATAATACCAACAAGAAATTTTATTGTTCATGAACGTTGCATCAAACGTCCCTGTCCTGAGTTGCTAAATGATTCTTAACAACTGTTTGTACCTGACTTGCTGACTGTATAGGAGCCAGTCCTGTTCCTTTCTATTAGTCACTCTTCTTACAGGGAAGAAGTTTCAAAATAGCTGGTAACTTTTTTTTTTTTTCTTTTGGAAAATATAAATAATTACTATTTTGTACTGTGTGGTATCTGTTGTCTGGTTTTTCTTTTTGGTTCGTTTTTACGGCTTCCCAGTTTAAAACTGGCTCCCCAAAGGTTCAGTTGATAATGACATTCTGTTCCTGGAGCTCAGATGGGATTTATTTAGGAATGTTGCCTGCAGAATTCCCATCCAAACCTGTGCTATTCCTCCTAACAGGTGTTACCAAAATACTAGAGAGCATTGGCTTTAAGAATTTAATAATTGCTGTGTGAAGCTGACCCATGGTCCTTTCCTTTACCTGTAGCTTTCTAGATGTGGGAGGGGAGAGCAGTGTAAGCTGCTGGTTTATCACATTAAGGTGCAAGGCAGGATGTCTGGGCAGGACAGACACCATCCATTTGTGTCACCATTAACCCCAAATCTCTGAGGAGGTTAGATTGAAATACGCAGCGCTGGGGCAGTGGCAAATGGATCTGACCTTAAGATGGTCAGGTAGGGCATGTAATGGTTTACAGATAATAACTCTGTTTTGTCTAGAAAATAGATTACCTATCTGTTGTCTGATTTTTCATGGTGTTGTCATGCTTCCACTCACAGCCTCTTGTCCCTTGTGTGAAGATTTCCCTTCATACCCTCGTGTGTTTAATCCAGCCGCTATTTTTATCAAATGGTGATTCCTGAGAGGGTCCCTGCCCCTTTTTGTGTCCCCCCACTGAAGCATAAGCACACAACCAACTGTATAGTAAGGCCTTCCTTTTAAGTGATTCACAAATTCCCATCTTACATCTATTGCCTGAATGCTACTAATTCCTTTTATATTGGATTTAAAGTGTGTTTCCTTTTAGGTAAGCAAAGCATTTAGTCCTAACGAGATTCTCCCCACTACCCTGTCAGAATTCAAACCCAGCATTTCCAGCTTATGATTGCATACAGGCATGAAAAGTTCATTGCCAGGTAATTGCATAAGTTGTCTGTGTGGCACAGAGATGTCTAATTATGCTGCAGTAGCTTCATTGTTTACTGAAATATTCAAACCTGAAGGAGACCTTTTATCCTCATCACGTTAGAGTGACCAACTGTTCCAGGAGTGTCCCTGGCTCAGCCTGGCTCTGGGAAGCAGAAATGCCTAGAGGAAAGTAAAAAGGGTGTTCACATGTCCTCAGCCTTCTTTTGAGGAGATGTTTACAGGAAAGCAACACAAATTTGGCAGCCTCCTTTCCCTGAGGATGGGGAGATAACCTGCAGGAAAAGAATCTGTTCTGGGGCTTGTCTGTCCCAGCCCTTCCTGCAGAGCCAGGTGAGGCTGCAGCAAACACTGTCCTGGAAGGTCTGGAATGAGATCCACGAAGGAGGCAACTTATTCAGATTGTTTCAGTTGCAGGTGAATTAATGATTTATTTGTCAATTTCACTTTTTTTTTTTTTTTTTGGGGGGGGGGGGTGTTTGT